CCTACAAAAAAGGAAAATTTAGATCATCATCATCATCAGCAGCGCAGCAGCAGCATCATCATCATCAACATCATCATCAAACATTACAAAATTCACCATACCACATTTGTAGGCGGCGTTTATTTCCACGAAATCCCATTTTGTGAACGTGGTCGCTGTTCCAAGTTCTTTGTGATAATCATCAACAGAGATTACTGTGGGTTGTCCGTCCTTGGTGAAAGCTGTCCTGTGGTAGTGCATGATAGAGTCGTAATCGTACGGGGTTCCATGTGTTAACACTTTATCCAGTGTTTTTTCAAATTGGCTCACAAAATCTATTAAAAGCAAAATTTTATATTATAAACCTTAACTCGTAAACCCGATGTTTTAGTGTGATTCCGATATCTATATACATCTACATCAAAGCAATACCGGAAGAATCTCCATCTACTAAATAAGTATAAAAATCCCCAATGTGATTGGTCCATAGAAGTAGATTGTACTTCTCACACCATGGCAATCTCGTAATACACGTGAGTCAACATTTCTAATTCTTCCGAACTCTACTTGTTCGCGCACGTAAGTAAGTTTCATTCATGTCTAGTGGGCATTTATCGGAGCATGTTTAATGATTATGGATTGAATTGACTCAAACAATAATAATATTGCCAGCAATGCACACTCTAAAAGGTAAAATATTTTGTTGGTTTAAAAATTACAACATACATGTATTCCTCAATTGAAATGAGCAACATGCAAATGTGACAAACGTTCTGCAAACGGATGTCTTGAATACCGTGACGTCATCACAAATTAAATAAACTAGTGTTATGTAAATTAGTATTCTTTTGAATCTGTGGAACGGATATATTGGATTAAGCGGAAATCAAATTAGTCTATGAAACTATAGATTCATTTCAAATGACTACACCGGTTTGACAAATCTGATGTTGTTTGACAATTTATAAATGTATTAGTAAATCGTTAGTAAATACAGCATTGTCAATGCGTTAAAACTTGCATACATTATCCAGCAGATAATAAACTCATTCCGACATTTAATGATTTATCATGAAAATAATCTTTGGATTGTCCCTGATATATATCATATCTATTACTTACTGGGAGATATATTCTGTCTTAGAATATATACATAGTTATCTCTGTCGTTACGATTTTGTTCATGAATAAATCCCAGTGCGTGCATCAACTCATGCAGTATAACGGTGAATGCCACGCAGCCGTTGCCGAGAGATATTTTCTGCCCCGCATATGCACCGTAACCGAAGCCAGACCAACATCTGAAAGAGACGTTAACATATTAACTCGCTGTGGATTCGCACTGGTTTCTGTATGATTGTACGTATGAATTGCGCCCCCCCCCCCCCACAGACAATCCTATTACTAGGTTCGTCGCTATAGACACCGTCTTTGACCATAGACCCTCCAGTAAGTTATCTACGTTGGAGCATAGCGGGACAAAACTAATTTATGCAAAAGTAGCTCGTACATCCTGTCTTGTCATTTCCTTTGATGTTTGCCGGCAGTTTCGTATCCCTCTACTGGAGGGTCTATGCTTTGACGCAAAACAATTAAATTATAGATGCAGGTTCGTTTGTTTTTTGTGAGTGTTCTATAAAATTATATCTTAAATCATATGTGGTAACAATAAGTTGCACTAGGTTTATGATATGTAAGTCTTCCACTCCGGAGTTTGTTTGTTTTTTGAGGGTTTTTTCTGAATACGTTTTTAATTTTGCTAAAGAGGTTCTAATACCTTTGCTTTTTTAGCCAAGTCTCAGGTTTGAGAGTAGACATCTTTGCCTCATATGAACCTCTGTACAGTGCACTACCATCTCACTCAAATACATAATTTAAAAACAAATGACGAATGAATAAAATGGTCTCAGACAATAAAAAAACAACTTACCCATCTAAAGGCAAGATATAAAGATAATGTTCTTCGTAAGTTCGTCTGACAAAACGCAGACACGTGTAGTGATGAAATTCTTCCATCGCTGATTCGATTTTTCTCACGGACTCGCCGTCTTATGAAAAAAAAAATGAAATTAGATGAATACAGCTAGATTTGTCTACGGTTGGATATTGCAGTCTTTATCTATCTACAAGTACGACTATTTCATAACAGTGTTACGATCATGATGTTTTAAACAGTAGATACGTCCAATTAAAGCGCCGCGTCGTATTCCAATTGGGCCAGTGCGACAATACCACGCTTGCAAAATACGGACACTGTTAATATGTAATTCATGTTGCCAACAAAAGAAATTGCGATTTAAGCTCACCATAAACCGGGTCAATGACATATGGCACCACTGCATTTGGCCAACGTCTGGATTCATCGGCAATCACTGATCTTTTAGTCTGTAGTGGGTGAATAGAATGCCCCGAAAGTTTACATATTTATTTGGTTAGTTTTCGTTACACAAATATCTACAAATATGGGTAATAAATGATTAAGTAGATCTGGTTTGACTCTTACGGTTTTCTATCATGTTTACGCACAGGGAGCCCAGGAACTACAATCAACTGTAGTACACAGTC